ATGCGCTGAACACAAATCGCAAATTAATACTTTTTTAAATATTTGATTGTTCTTAATCGAGATAGATGAGCTTTGGACCAATTGGGGGGTTACAGCCCCCCCTCCCCCCCTGTTTTAACCCATAATTTGATATTTTACAGTAAGATTTGAAATTTTCCTGAAAATAATTGATTTGCCAGTTTTAGTGGCTTTATGTGTGTGATCTGCAGCAAACAGTATGCCTACTGCAGTTTAACCCCCGAAGCAATGCTTGTGTGCGGGAGTGAAAGTAAAAATTTACTAACCTGATTAAGGATTCAGCCTACTTTTTAATATAAATGCCTGATGAAATACTGAATGGATCGTACTTTACCGGACCACCCGTCTCGGCCCGTGATTACTACGCACGCCTAGCCTAACTACGCACTCATACTTCTCTACGTGCGGACGAAAGGTATTTCCGCGGGCGACTTCGCGCACAGCGCAAGCCAGCGGCGAGGCGAGGTGAGCGAGAGGTGTTGGTTGAGGGTGGGTAGGGGATTTAACTTTGGTGGACCACCATGTATCATACCAACAGTGGGGGGGAGGAAATCTGGAACCAATAATAAAGAAAACACACAAATGCAAACAATAACATGAGCGGACAATCGTGTTTACATATATATATCAATGTAACAATAGTGGGGGGTTTCAGGGGGGCTAGCCCCCCTGGCAACAATAATTTAAAAACACACACACACATATATATATGAGCCATTGCCAAAACGTGGGGAAAAACACATACATCTCACATAAGTGTGCATAAAATGTGATGTATTAGTCATTAGTATTTATTCCTCCAAAACTTATACATGTTAAATATAGAATGTAGAACCTACATTAGCAGTTTCAGACCCAGTGTCAGCTTTACAATCTTGAGTTTGTAAATTTTGTGCCAAAAATGTTCGTTTTTTTGTGATTCCTGGACTGTCATTTTGAGCACACCAATGCAAACTTCCAAGAATGTCCAAAATTTAGTATTTTTGGGTGTTTTTTTTTTAACCTGTGCTTTGATCCTATGCCATTTGTGATCGAGAAAGGTTCACTTGCTCAAGAAATCAATTTATTTGTTTGCAAATAAACGAATAATTCGGAAAACTTGTGCGTCAGTCATGTCGTCACATACCAGGTGTTTCATAAAACACCATTATTTTTCACCAGAATCACAACAGCTGGTTAAATCTTTTTGCTTTTCATCGTTTATTCAATACTTCAAAAGCTGACTGTGATGCACGAAAGGAACATCGGGTTTCTAGATCTACGATTTCGGTCGGCTGTTTAACATTCGCCGTGATTGGCGTCACTTTGCGACGTACCGGAAGTCTGAATTTTAGCCTACTTTTGTTTTGAACGGATCATCAACAGTGCCCGGATATAATTGTTTTCTTGAGTGACTTCCCCTTACCCGCTCCCCCAGAACAGCGGAAGCAATGGGGAAAAGAGAAAAACGAAAGTAGTCATTGCCGTCAGTCTCCGGTTACGCACAAGAATATTGCGTTGAATGTGACGTACTGGACTGTTTTGCGTGTTTTTAGGCTACCTATTGAATATTTTAGTAAAATTGCGGTGTTAACATTGGATTCCTAGAACAAGAGTGTGATGTGTGAACAAACTTCGAGAAACGGATCATTTATGTGAGTATAGATTTAGCTTTTGTGCTTAGTGATGACGTTTGGGGTGTCGTCATGCAGCCGTACAAGACTGACTGACGTACTAGAAATTACATTGTCCTAAGAGCAAACATTTTTTATGTCATGTGTGCTCTCTTTACTCAAACAAATAGACAAACATGTCCTTGTTTATCTGTCTAACTCAAAAGTGCACATTTGTTCTTTGTTGGCATGATATAATATGCCTTTTTCCAATACATTGTGTCATCATTGTTATGTACAAGTAATATTTTTCATAATTGCTAATATCAATAAGTTTTCAACATATATTTCATATGCAAGATTCATTTAGAAACAAAATACGCCTTTATTGATCTGTGTATCTCATAGTGCAAATTTGTTCTTTGTAGGCATGATTTTACCTTTTCCCAGTATGTTTTGTCATCACTGTTATGTACGAGTACTGTTTGTCATAATTAGCAATGTAATTGTGATTGTCCACTGTCTTTGATATGACCTGATATCTGTTTCAAAGCAAAAGAAGCCTCTCCTGTTTGTTTTTTTAATTCTAAAAGTATGCATTTCTCTCTGGAGGCATGAATTTGTCTTTTCCTGTACATTGTGTCATCATAGTACAAGTCATGTTTGTCATCACTGTTATGCACAAGTCAGCCCCATTGATGTTGTGCTTTTGCCTCATATTAGTTTAAAAATTGTTTTACACATGTGTTTTTCTGGTGCTGAGGCTTTGTGTGTATTTGTACAGCCTTTCACTATTGTGATGTGTTGTCCATGATAATGTCCAATGTGTATCCTTTCTTGTACATAACAATGATGACATGTTCTGTGCACTGCGTCATTGTTACAATGCTTGTCATTCATATTACCATTATGGATGGAGTTCATAGTGTACAAGTCTTTGTTAACTAAGCAAATGGAATTTAAAGTCTATAATTTGCCTTGCTGCTTATCTGTTTTTGTCATCACTGTTACATACAAGAAATACAGTGGTTGCCGAACCAATAGACCCATATCACCAAAACCCTACATCTCCTTGCTCTGATACTCTGGAGGAATATGAGCACTAAATGTCAATCTGTGACTGACAGAAAAGGGAGTCAAATTGGTAAAAAAAAAAATTTGGAACCACGGAGTCTCAAGAGAGTCTCACGTTTTGGAAATTGCTCATATATATATAAACAACAACATGAGCGGACCATGGAGCTAAGTGGACAATCGGGGTAGATTTAATTAGAGTTGGAACAGGCCGAGCCTTGCTTCACAGCACTCGCCAAGTGGCTAGCAGGACCGAGGGGTTTGCAATTATGCAAATGAGCTCTCGTGCGCATCTCTCACCCTTCATTGTACTTTGCCGGACCAGGAGTAGGCCTAGCCTAGCAGAGTCGTGACAAATTAGCCTCAAAGTGTCAGGGTCGTGGGTCAAAGTCAAAGGGCACGGTGGCATGGTTGTGATGACTGAAAAACCCGGTAAGAGACGTCAGTTGGTTGTTGGCAGTCGAAGGGTGAGGACGTAGAAAACTGAGTAGGAGAGTGAGTAACGGAGCTCGGAAAAGAAGAATAGTGGGCTACTAGGCACCAGGGGCACCATAGCGAAAGTAGTTCCGACCGGTGGTCCAGTAAAGTACAATCTTACCGAAATGGAAGTGGCTATTCTCACCCGGGGTGAGAATAAAAATACGATCTACCTCTCACCCCGGGTGAGACTTGCCAGCATAGGCTATTCTCACCCGGTGTGAAACAGGACCTGTTTTTCCTCATTTCGGAATACTGTCTATCTGTGTGGATGATCAAATTGATAAAAGCCACACAAAAATTACGTTATATATAGTCACAAAAGTAAGCTAATTTGATCGTCTTCAAAGATGCTCTACTATGGCTATTTCACTGTTCGAATCGAGCCGAACTACGCGGGTCGTTATTTTGTTTTGCCCGGAAGTTCTCGAAAGATCTACTCCTTCCCTCTCTCTCTCTCTCTGTCTCTTTCTGAATACTGTCTATCAGTATGGACGATCAAATTGACCAAAACAAAGTTAAAAAATGATGTTAAAAAACAAAACTACATTAATTTGGTAGTCTACAAAGATGTTACGGCTATTTAACTTTCCAAATCGAGCCGAACTACGCGGGTCGCCATTTTATTTTGCCCGGAAGTTCTCGCGCTACTCCTCTCTCTCTCTCTTTCTCCACTGCCCACAGACAAAATTGCACGCTTTTAGTTTTTAGGCTAACTCTAACAGAAGTAGATCTAGATCTAGAACGTTTGTTCACGGCACAGAATTCTACAATTCTGATATCACAGAGTAGAATTCTGTGGTTCAGGGTGAACGCTTCACTGGTTGGCCTAGCTATAACGGTGAACGCCCACCGGGTGAGAATAGCCAAAAGACTCGCCTGCGCTCTATTCTCACCGGGGGTGAGAATAGACGAGGCCTACCGAAATACTCAGGATCAGGTCTGAATCAGAGGTAAAGATTTTAAAACACGAAAAAGTAGGCAATCGCCTGCATTGCAGCTTGCTGTTCTCAGCAGAGACGATCATGCATTTACACTAACACACCGTAACAACGTCAACGCACAGTATAGTAGTACAGTGCTCACAGGATACACAGAAATTCACCTGTTATCACTCTTAATTTGAATAACGACAACCTTTTCTCTAACTTTCAGCAGTTTTCTTTTAAAGTTAAAGTCAACAAATCAGTGAAATGAAACAACGAAGTGGAAGAACAGCAACAGACTGTCAGAGCAATGAGTCTGACATTAAAATCGTTATATTAATTATTAGCCTACCTTTTTTCGGCAGCACAACATTAAATGTGGGATGGTATCTTTATAAGACAAACTGTTATCAAAAATTCACCCTTCTGATTGTTTTTATCAAAATTCTCGAGCTCGATTTATCAAAAATATAGACAGGGGTCTAGATCTAGATCTAGATAGCTAGACTCTAGATCTAGTCTTGCCTAGTGTCATTTGTTTTTGTAAATATGTTTGTGATGGCCATCGATCTTTTATCATCAAGTGGGTTACAGTTATGTCCCCTTGGTTTATTTTTTAAAAATCCAGAAATTCAGAAAAAGGTGAAAATGACAAAACAATATTTGATTTAAGGAGGCGGAATGGAAAATGGAAAGATAAGAACCCCGGAAACATGCTTGTGGCTTTTGGTCAATCCATTTGTATTGATGAGAGAGAAGCATTCTTAATTAACAAGGGCACAAAAAAAAACTGGAAGCTGCAATTATAATGATAATGTTCAAAGTCTCATGAAATGAGAGGAAAATAAACAAGTGCAGTCGTATTATACAATAGGCCTAAATCAAATGAAAGGTCTCGGATCAGAACCATCAGGAAGAGACAACTGATACTCTTTTGGCCACATAAAGAAAATGAATTGACTTAATAAACTGATGTTACTAAATTAGGTAAGATTGAAGAATACCGGACCAGCGGACTGACTTTGCCTATGTCTTAACCTTAGGAATTCATAATTTTCCCGTTTTTAATCTCTCAATGGAGAATCTCGGACCGGTAGATTCTAGATCTATTCATTAAAATTTTGTCAGGGGGGAGACCCCCCCTGAACCCCCCTTCCCCCTCCTCCACCCCAACCACCCGCTCCACCTACCCCACTTTCTCGTGCAATAATAAACGGGTGGTCCGGTATTCTTCAACCTTCCCTAAATTACAAAAAAAGGAAGAAGAAGAAGGGGAATGCTAATAATAAAATGACAAGCATAAGCTTCGTAACAGTATTTTAGAAATAATTGTGCCAACAATCATCATCATCATCTTCATCTTCATCATCATCTTCATCATCATCATCATCATCATCATCAAATAAATTGGAAAAAACACGAGATCCACTTTCAGTGAATTGTGTTCCGGTCGGTGAGGCGTGAGGTCATTTTATTTGGTTCCGGTGTCGGCGAGAGAGCTATTGTGGCAGGGGCAAAGGGTTAAAGGTTAAAGATGAGCGTTGTTGACATTACTCTCGCTTAAATAGGGAGCTTGTTGGGGTGTTACTGGAACAGTCGGCTGTGAATAGAGAGCAGCAAGCAGCTATTTTTTATGTGTGACTTTTGTCAGTTGTAACAGCTGTGAGTGCCATATTCGTCAGTAAAAGAGGTAAATTTTTACCTATGCACCCATGCATTGTTGGCATTGATTTGAGATTGAGGGCTAAACTGCCATACTTACTTTTTGCTGCAGAAGAACACATTATATTATCATTCATTAATTATTATTATAAATTTATTTATATGGCATGGCCACTAAAACCCTTGCAAATCCATTGTTTTCAAGTAAATATAAATATCAATCCTAATTGCCAAAACATCAAATCATTGTGAAATGCAGGGGGGCATGCCCCCCTGAAACCCCCCAGATTCTTTTTAGGTCAGGGGGCGACCCCTGAATTGAAATCCCATACATACATGATACACTGACACAGTCAAACCTGTGTAAGACAACCACCCATTGTTTGTCAAGGAGAAAAGTGGCCGTAGCTAAGACAGGTGGCCGTCTTAGGCAGGACTCATCAAGATGAAGAAAACAAACCATTCATATCTGAGGTCCCAATCGGAAGTAGCCGCATTGTTATTGTTTTGGAAGTGCCTATTTGCAACGCCGCATTGCGATTAGCGCCAGTGCTAATAAAACGCCGCGTTGCGATTAGCGCCAATGCTAAATAAAACGCTGTGTCGCCGTGTGTAAAACATTAGGAAGTGCCTATTTGCAACGCCGCGTTGCCATTAGTGCCAGTGCTAAATAAAACGCCGTGTTGCCATTAGCATCATTAGCGCCCGTGCTAAATAAAACGCTGTGTCGCCGTGTGTAAAATATCAGGCTTCTGCACTCTTTTATTGGAAGTTCTGATGGCCGAAGTGACAGCGCGTCTGCGCTTGAAGTCAGACCGTTACCTTTTTAGCTTGAGTTCGATCCCGGTCCTGGACGGGTTTTTTTTTTGTACTCTTCTCGACTGACCAACAAATTTTTTCCCATAATTATAACTTGTTGCTTTGTAGTTTTGTTCATGTAGTGATGAAGCATGCACATTCTGGTTTTGTCCCCAAGAGGAGCTCTGTACAAAAAGTAGGCCTTATTATAGAGGTTAGACCAATTTAGTTAAAGTTCAACAGTGGCTTTGGTCTGTGAGTCTAATTTTTTTGGCCGGCACTATTTCTCCGAACGTTCGGGAAAATAAAGCTGGGCACCATTTCTCCGAACGTTCGGGAAAATAAAGCTAGGCACTATTTCTCCGAACGTTCGGGAAAATAAAGCTGGGCACTATTTCTCCGAACACTCTGAAATCTAATCCTTTCTCGCAAATTTCGGATATTATATAGATCTATAATTATAGTATAGGCCTACCAAAGACTGTTCGTATACAATATGGTTCAAGCGGTCCAAAAAAGGTCCACAGTAAATATTTATATAAAGAAATGCTACAGTTCCAAACAGTTTTTCGCTACGCTACAGATATGGCGTGTTGCCTATGTTGCTCTTAAACGTAATGTGTTGTGTTCACTCGTGTGCTGTCTAGATCTAGATCTAGATCTACGGAGGGTTATTGATAACGACACGATAGAACTACTGCGACCAATGTACTGACACTGGCAAAGCCCCTTAATGTGTGTGATTCCATAATTTACATGTAATATCCTGTACTTTTTTTTAAATTACGCACATTTAGGGTTAAAACAGCCAATCTTCTTCGGACAGGTGGACACTCGCCCTTATTTTTTAATGTTTGTTGTTGTTTATGGGCTGTTCTAATTTTGATTTCTTTCTGTTGTGAAACCTTTCTTTTTCACGTTTTTACACTCATCTAAAAATCTCTAGGCGAGCTCTTGAAAATTGAAATAGATATAGACCCAAAAATTTGCTCCTGTGTGTGTGTGTGTGTGTGTGTGTGTGCGCGCGCGCGTGTGTGTGTATGTATGTGCGTGTGTGAGTATGTCTGTGTGTGGTTGTAAGTGGAGAGTGAGGAGTGTGTGTGTGTGTTTGTTTTTCGGGCTTTATTTCAGCCTTTATTCAGTAACAGTTCAAAGTATACAAAATAGAAACACAGGATCCATTCACTCCAGGGCTCATGAGTTATTCGTCTCTTTCAGTTTTACTCATTCATTCAATTCCCGTGTTCTCTCCCGCGGCTCATCCCTGTCCGCATGACTTTCATACCCCACCCCCTCCCTCCAGGCACACACAAAGAAAATCTCACTCATTCCCTTGCACCCTGCGAACCATGGACAATAATATAGGCAAAACACTGCCTGAGCTGCATTCCTTTCTTTCGTGAGCTGTGGACCAGGCCAGGGGGGGTCGGTGTCGTCGTCTTGTAGTTGCTGTCGCCTGTGGATACTCTCGCACATTCTTCCTTTCACCCGCTCTTTCACTCACACTGTCTCTCCATCCACAGCTCAGTTCGTCATACGTTCAAAAGTTGCCCACTAGTCATGTTTAGTTAGTGTTCAAAAGTTGCCCACTAGTCATGTTTAGTTAGTGTGTGTACATGTGCATGATGGTGGTGTGTGTGTGGTGGGTGTTACTGAAGGTTGTCTGTAGGCGGGCTTGCCATGCGGTGTTCCTTCCCAGATCAGAGGCAGAATGAAAGTTGGCGCCGAACTCTCGCAATAAATAGGCAAAAAATCACGAGACCGGAAGCCGGAAACCGTTCGGAGAAATAAAGATCGGCACTATTTCTCCGAACGTTCGGAGAAATAGTCACTCTGAATTTTTTTTAATGCTCAGGAGAAGGAAAAAAAACCTTCAGGGACTGGGATTTGATTCCATGCTTGGAAGCACTGAACATTAGACTTAGAGAACGTAGGCAGTAGACGGCTTACGTTCTCTAGGCCTTACTTAAAGTTTGAGTTGCACCGTCTTGTTATTGTTATCCAAGCGTCTTTCGACTTAAACTTGCTCAAACTCTAACTCAAAGTCAAATGATTATGATGAGAGATGAACAAGACAAGATCTACGTCTAGTCTACTTTTGTGCAAACAATGTCAAAAACAATTGTTAGATCTAATCTAGAATCTAGATCTAGATCTAGATCTAGATTTTTCTAGATCTAGATCTAGATTTAGATCTACCCAATATTGATCGCGACAACATCATAAAAAAAGGAGTCAAATCCTAGGAGGTTTATCAAGAAACAGGGAAAGCTTCCACAATTCAGGCAGAACTACAATATTATCATGTAGAAACAACGGCTACTTGATCTACATCTAGATTCTAGTGCTGGCGTTGCAAATAGCACGGGAGCTATTCAGAAAGCGGCGTTGCAAATAGCGCCTGCCTATTGTTTTTGTTGTTGTTGGTTTGTATTTTGTTGCTGATTTTGCGCAAGGGTGACAATAAAATGAATTGTACCAGACAAGGAGGACCGAGTGCCATGTTAAAACAAACACATTGGTCGCCACCACTCGGAGAACGAGCGATGCTTCTGTCACAAGTTCATGTTGACGCCCATTGTTAATTTGCTACAGACCGGGTAAACAGTGACCACTCATCTCACTTACGGTTTGTGTATGAGATCTGGGTGGGGCTTATGGGTTATGAGGGATCACACACTTACCTCACCAGCAGCTGAAAATTGGTAGCTATTGGTCAACAGAGGGAGGGGCCTACGCAACATGATCAGTTGGAGGGACACCTAACAACAACGACAGGGGATTGAATTATGACGGCTCGCCCACAACGCCAGGGGCCAATGCGCAATTTATGAGAAAACGTAATGGAGTCACTAAGGTGGCTGTCTAAGACAGGTGTTATTACTTAGTGTGATAGGGGTTGTTGGTTGTAAATAAATGTCAACACTCTTTGTGACTTGACGAGGACTTTTAATAATCAAGCACAATGAAGACATACGTCAGACGATGCATGACTGGAACAGAAACGGAACAGAAATAAAGCAGATGAATATACTTACTTTACTTTTACTTTTTTCTTCCGCTTGTACCCTGGGGTGTCGCGGGGAGACACAGGTGTCTGTCTGCAGCAAGTCGTGTGGCCTGTAGGAGGGACATCC